GGAAGCGCTTCGTTAGGATAATTTTGAGCTCCCAATGAAAACCACATTTTATCAACAACCAGTATATCGATGAAGAAAGAAGATGACGGGAAATTATGTTCAAGCCGAATTTACACCCGAACTCGACTACTTTTTCGTAGGACGGTTGCAAGACAACGAAACGAATGGCGGAAATGCGAGGACCTCCTTAAAATGTGAAGATGAACGTGTCTGAGTAGGTAAGAAATGCTAGTGAAAGTGACTAGCATAAACTTCCCTCAAGATGTTATTTTTTAAACACTTGATGATACATTTTGTTTCCCATCGGTCCCGGCCAGTCTTTGTAGGTAGGGATAGTTATTTGTGCTTCAAGGAAGGTCTTCTAATCTATATGTCCGAGAACGTTCGCAATAATCAGTAGTAGATAATTTCCTTGAAGATTCTTCTATGTTGCGCTGATAAATTCGCAATTGCGCTTTCACGAAGAAATTCCTTAATCTCGATAATAATCCAAAACAATCAATTTGCTTGACAAGTTAGAAATTTCGCTATAAAGTAGACTAGGCAACTCCCTTTAGGTTAGTCGGTTTAGAATTACCCTATATCGCAATATTTCCAGTGAGTACATTATTGATTGATATAGGACTATTGAGACAGCCTTCGATTCCAAAACGAATTCATTTGCTGAGCTTCAATAATTAATGTGTTGGTAGTCTTTTCTGATGTTGACGCACTTTTTCTCGCGTGGTTAAACGGAAAGAGTCTTTTTTTCCAGAATGTTTTTCCAGTCTTATTAGTTAAATTTTTGGACGTTCTCGCTATCCATTTTGACCTAACCAGCGTTAATTAGGTAGCATTCCTGCATTTTCCAGCACCATTTCCAAAACCGCACGAAGAATTGTCCTCGTTTTCCAATCACAGATAAACTTGTGTTTCTTTCTTTTTATCCATGCAGAATTTTTGTAGGTTTACAGTCAGATTTTCCGACAGCAATCAATGTTGCTTTATCGCCGAAAAATCGTATTCATTCGACGTATTCGGATTCATTGTAGATGGTCTTCGTACGTGGAATGGAGCCGAACTTCCGAACTGAATTACAGCTGTCTAGTCGTTTCCTAGATCTTTATCGCACATCAGAAAAGATTTCTCGAAACACTTGTATTGCTGGAAAAAACAACTTATCCTTGCAGCTTTTATTATTTCTGGGCCGGTTAGGCTTCCGATGGGATATCGCCAGGTTCTGAGCGGCGAATAAATCACCTATATGACCTGCCGGAGCTCAGCTGGAGAAGTTACTACCGTAATCAGTTTCGTTCACTATGACATGTGTATCCTCTCATTATCTACTGGAAATCGTCATCCTTTTTTGACACCCCATTGTAATATATGAACGCGATGAATTGCTAACAGGTTTGCAAAAACCTAAGTTTTTGGAGAATGCGTATTTTTTCGACACCTATAGTGCCCATAGGGAAGTATGAGGATTTCACAAACTTACAAAAGCTACATCGACGAGTCGCATTAAGAATGTATGTACTACTGTATACTTAGGTACTTAGACGACTTATTGTGTCGTACGGATCCCAGTATGTCCATTTGTTCTGCTCTGTTGTGGTCGTCAACCATAGATTCTATTAAACTCGTGGGTAATTTCGACTTCCAATTAGAGGCTAGTCATCTTCTCTTCCCGACGATTGGTTGCATGTTGGTCAAATGTAACCTTTCCTGAAGTGTCGAAATATCCTTATTTGGGTGTTCCCACGTCTCCACCACGGGTGATAGCAACCCTCACGGATGGGAGTGAGGTATGTTGCCTTATGAGCAGTTTTCTTGAAAAAAAAAGACGGCGAATCCTTCTAAGCGAGTGGTAGAAGATGTAAAAACTCGAGTCATTCATTAGTATCTAATTTATTAGAATGTTATTTTCATTTTAAAGTCTCCCACCAAGGTTTCCAAAACACCAAGGTTTCCAAAAATTTCAAGGCTTTCGCACTTTTTTCAACACCAATCCAGAAGCCATGAAAGTCAACAATTTGTACTGGCCATTTGAGAGTCACACATGACTCATTTATTTTAGGAATTGTAAAAATGCGTCCCACCTAAATAATCAGCAGAACATAGTGAGTTCTACATAAATAAGCACACTCGGTAGCCCTTTTTCTTAAGCTGATTCTGCCATTTTAGATTCTAACTAGGAAAACTGCTTCATTTCCAGTTTCTACAGGAATTTTAGGCAATTTGGAAGTTATTCTAAAAATTTCAAAAAAGAGTCGGGAAAACATCGTAACTGGAAATGTTTCGTTTAGTTCCGTTTTCATCGGTGATCTCACCGAAGTTTCCGACTTCTATGTCCTTCCAACGTTGTTTTGTTGAAAGCGACTTGGTTTCCATACCAGTTTTGGACGAGTATTAATGATCTTCTTCGTTATTCGGCTAAGAACAGTTATCCTCACGCTCACTTGAGATTCATATCGCTTGTGTGAGTTAGTGGATTTCAATTACCTTCGCTTTTCAGCAAAACAAAAAATAAGCGCATCATGCGAGTCGTAATTGCGGACAGTCGGCACTCTGCAGTTTTCTATCGTGGTCATCCAATACTTGGCTATTTTGTTCTTGGGTTGTATCCAGTAATAATAATACTAGTAATACTAATAATAATTATATTAATAATGCTAATAATAGTAGCGAAAAATTTAATCCTTTCAAACGTTTTTGATTTTAGGGAATCCCTATGATTAGTAGTGCTCTCGATTTTTTATAATAGTTTTTTTTGCGTATTAGTTACCAAAATTGAGAAAAGAGGACGGTATTTTTTGTGTGGAAGTTAGGAGCAGAGAGCAGTGACTGCGTAGAGTTCATGTAATCACACTTGGCAACTTCATTCTGAAATTTTATCCTATCCTACTATTTTGGGAGCGTTCGTGGTGTAATGGTTAGATTGGATGCCTTCCTTTGATTTTTTCCAAGTTCTAACTTTTTCTCTGTAGGATTTAGATTTTTCACTAGCTTTTTCATTTTTCTTACGTTTCTAGACTTTTTTCCACCTTTTCTTCTGTGTTATTATAAGACTTGAAAATCGAAAAATATTACGAAAAATTCGGAAAGAATAAAAAAATTTTAATGGGATTTTGCTTATGCATAAGTGGAAAGTAATGAAAACGAGGTGGTTATTGAGAAGTGGGAAAGGGAAACCACTTTTCGTTTCTTGGTACACAATCTGATTTCAGAAGCGAATGTTGTTCTACAGGTCACTGACCATTTATTACCACTCTGAAGTGTCTGCGGTTCAATTCTGTTCTGTCAATAAAAACCCACAAACTCGTATCCAAAGATGGTGGACGAGTTTTTTTGCACTGCATTTTGAGCTTTCCATCTACTCATTAAATAGTGCATATTTTGCCATAGGCCACCGAATTATTGTTAGTAAGTAAGTGTTTGAATTCGTTTGTATGGTTCACGAGTCGTCATTCTACTCACTAAACCATGCATATGTTTTCGCACTCGATGAACCGCTGTTAAATGATAGATGGACGAGTTTATTTATTATAACCCTTGAGCTGTCGGCCTACTATATCATGCATGTGTTGCCGCATACGAAAAACTGCTGTTAGATGTTAGCAGGGCGAGTTTGTTCCCTATAGCCCGTGAGTCGCCAGCATACACTAAATTGCCCTAACGTTACCGCACGCGATGAACTTGTGCTAGATGGTAGATGCTGAGTAGTGGTGAGTGATACTTTAATACTTAGATGGTCTGTCCTCATTGATTGTGCGGTCTCCAACATAATCTCCATTTTTTTTCGGAGATTTGCTGGTTTAGCCATTGTGGTTTCCTGGAATCCCAGGCCAGTCTTGCCAATTCTACCCCCATGCGGTGAGTGACGGAGGTCATAATGCAAAATTTGTCGTTACGCGGAAATTCTCGGGTGATTTTAGGTGACTGTCCGTTCTCAAGACAGCACGTTATAGCCCATTTAATACACCTAAATGTCGATACACGATATAACAAGTACTTATTATTCCAAATGTGTTTAGTTCTTCAACTACTCAGCATTCCTTATTCCCTTATGTGCTTTTGTCTCTTTCTTCGTTTTTACTTTGCCCATACTTCTATCAAGCAGCAAAGTGTGTCGATATTTTCATAACAAAACAAAAAAGTGCAGATGTTGCAAAGCAGTCCGGCTTTTCGCAATGAGTGTTATTCATACCGTTTGTAGTTCGAAATGGACAGCATGGCTGGGAGTGACGTGAAACCCAAACCTCGAATTTAGAAAGGTATCGTAGTTTTCCAAATCGATTGTTTTAGCGTTTATTCGCCTTTACAACGATTTCATGGCAATGCTTCGTGTACTTTATTATTTCAATTGTAAGCGGTTTTTTCTATTTTAGATGTTCCTGTATAGTGTATATTTCGTGCAATGATTATTTTTTCTTTCAATATGTTTAGCGCTTATTGTGGGAACCGCGCGCTATTTCTCCTTGGCGTACGAGAGAGCGCGCTATATTATTGGCATAGAAGAGAGTGCAGCAGAATTGTCAGAGGAAACTGAGTTTCTCTTTAAATGCAATTTATTTCTTGTCGAAATTCGCTGGTAAATATGCTGCGAGAACATTGAAAGAATGGAGGAGACTGGTTTTCCACAATGTTTGACCACTGCTATAAAAAATGAAAACAGTAAGAGTTCACGCAATACCTTGGTACCTAATGGAAATTTAGGAGCAGTTTTTGTGTGCGTGTATATCTACACTTCTATGTGGGTCTGGGTATATATGTGTCTATGTGTATGTGTTTGTGTGTGTATGTGTGTGTGTCTGTGTGTGTATATATAATTGTATGCCTATGTACGTGTGTGTGTGTGTGTGTGTGTGTGTGTGAGTGTGTGTGTGTGTGTATGCGTCTATGCGTGTGATTTTTATCGAAATCCGTGCGCGACGCGGCGACACTGTGCGATCCTCCGAAGACGATGTTGTTACGATCGACATCGTCGTCACTGCACTTTACTACGGCTGTCGTCGTGCAGGATGATGTCGGATGGTGTTGTGCGCGTTCAGAGTCGGCAGTTTCTACAACCACCGCCGTCAATCACCATCACCACCGTTGCCACTGCCGCCAGCGTCGTTCAGTCATCCACGTCCGGCATGGGCCGTGGCTCCTTAGGGCGCCGACGTGCGTCGGCGTTTGTGCGTCGCGTATCGATGGCGATTCCGACACTCACCGCCGATCCGGTACCGTTCTCAGCGGTAAGTAACTCTGTTACGGTCATGAAGTCTGCATTGATATTGGTTGGTCCACGACATAAACGAATAAGGTTTTCATCGTTATTTTTGAAACTATTCCATATCACTGGATTAACATATTCAGTATGGTTGCTCAGTATGGTATAAGATTTTCGATATATTTTTAAATGTTTAGGTCAACTCTGAATGCATTAGATTCTATAGTAGGCTACTCAGTACTACTCAGTCAGTATAAGTACTCAGTGTAAATGTTATTCATCTGTAATCCTGTTGATCATCGAGTGAGTTGTAACAGCGCCATTGAGCTCTACTTTTGTTCTTATCGCCCTCCAAAATCACGGGTTCGAGTCTGGCCTGAGGTCTAAATTTTGCAAATGTCTCAGTGCCGTAATGGTTATATTTTTTAATTACTGCTTTGATGGGTGGAATGGAATTATAATTCCGAGATTTTCCTTTAGAAAAATTAACGTTTCATGAATAGTACTTGTTGGTCCGAATTGCGATGGGGGCCGTACCTCTTGTGATCCGCTGAGAAAGGGCTGTCTTGGTTACAATGTAGCAGATCTCGCTGCAAAATTTCGTCGTTCAGAGTCCACATACTGCATCCTTTAATTTGTGCATCAGTTTTGATGTCAGTTGACAGAAACATTCGCACTTCACGGCATTTTTCAATGTTTCGAGTTAATAAAATTCCATTTTGGTCCATATTTCTCATTAGCAGTTTCCCTTTTTAGCTTTTCATGTCATGCACTAGTTTTTACTGACACAACATGATTTGCGCCTTAGAAGTAGGCTGCGACTACACGCTTTCTATGCTTTGATTACTTTTACTGTAATGCTCGAGTTGTTTCCTTATATTATATTACTCACTTGATACTTGAATGGCTCGTCTTTACTGGTCGTGCGGGCATTTTTTTGGTGTTTTGCTGGTTTAGCCACTGTGGTTCGTTGGAGTCCTGAGGTCAACCTGGCCAAAGTCTCCTCCAGGTAGTCACCACCACAGGTAGTCGCCGCCCTTCTGGATCAGAGGGAGATTTGACGCCATGCGACTATTTTGATACCAGGACGGTGGTGGATCCAATTATTGGTTTGCTCTTAGCTGGGTTTCCTGGTGCAAACGCCTGACGCCTCAGCTTGGGAGACCCTACTGTGGGGATGTATTCCCGTGCTGTACATTGCAGTCAGACACCCACGAACATCTCTCAACCACGATGACGCGGTGAACCGTTGGGAGTGTTACATTATGTCCAAATATGGCGCATCCCTCAGGGAGTGATCAACGCTCAGAGCTTTGTCCTTTATCCTTTATGTCACATTATTGTAATTACAATGTTTGAAAAGTGTCTCAGATTTTGTTTATGCAGAATCAAGCAATGAATGCAATCAGAGTTTTCTTATTCGCAATTTAGATAATCGAATCTAATTTTTTTCTACGACATGCAGTGGGTTCGTGGTTTTTTCCGTTACAGTCAAAGCTTTCATCTCCTTTTCGAGTGCAATTCTGTGATAGGCCTAAGATAAACTTTTCGTCTATCGGTTGATGTAATTCGTCTGCTTCTGCTTAGCGATGGTTCTATTTCTCATTTACTCGCTCTTTCTCCATTTTCGACAAAAATCACATTAAAGTTCCTCGGGTCTCAAATTTGCTTTTTTTCTTGTTCGTTCACTACCCAAGCTAGCATTTTAGCTGGTCGTTAAGTTGTTTGGCTCGGATTTCTACCGTCTGTAGCAGAACTACCGCAGTGAGATCTACCGCATCTTGTTTGTGCACCGCGCACTCCGTCTGTCGTGAACTATTTCGTCGCCGAATGTCTGCGTCTCTGACTCCTCACACACAATGTCTGTGTGTTATAAATATTTTCGTTGTTCTTCACTTCGTTATGCCCTTATTTCTCATAACAATAAACAGTTATTTGCATAATATGGAAGAATCCTCATCGGCTTCCTCGGCTCGCTTCATTCTCATTGAGAATGACATCTCCACTGGGAAGGCGCCGGTAACTCCTACAGTAGGAACTCACCATGAAAATTTCTCGCTTGCCGCCAATCACATCGTCAGCGACATCCTAAGAGAAGAAATTTTCTTGCGGTACCTCATAAATATTTCGTCACAAAGCTTATGCCAAATCAATAATCAGTATGACAAGGGAATATTGTTCGGCAGCAGAGACTTTTAGGTGTTATCGACTAGGAAGAACTCGCCACGATCTTGCATAAAGCGTGGCGCATTCAACCTTGATCAGTCCTTAGGGATGTGCTATGAGCCATCCACTCCGACCACACTATAGAAATGCGTTGAATGGACTAAATGGATTATTTCGCTTATACAATGACGTGCGGTGGCCTGCCGATGTATCAGGTCAACCTTTCGTCCCCAGGTCTCACACTAATTTGGTGATCTCTGATAGATGACAGGCTTAATTAGCATATAGAAACGTAGTCGAACCAGCGACCTTGCCTGTGGGTATTATAGAGTATCTTTAGTCACACTTGTCCTCTATTTAGCCTTCATCCTTTTCTGCGGCTCTGTTTTCCTCTTTGAGAATGGTTGTAGCTCAATTACTGTTTACTTTCATGTGTATTTCTTCGTGCTACTCATAGATCTATTTTTTTGTAAAGTCACTTTTTTTGTAAGAGAAATTTTGTTGGCTTTTTAACGGCCAGTGTTTAAGTGTGTTTAGGTGCTTTTTCGCAAATAAAATTCATAAGTTGCTGAAAGAGTTTTTTTCTTCCTTGGTGCTTCCCACACCATTTTCTCATCGACACTTTTTCTTTTTCATAGCCTTCTTTGCAAAACTGTCAGCACTGTTTTTTTTTTTCAATAAATGCTTTTTGGATGAGCGGACTTTGCAAGATTCTTCCAGATCTTGGATGTCTCTCATAGGAAAGAGCTTTTAGTTCTTTTTTTGTTTTACTTTTCTCCGTACACGCTTTCACTTAGCCTAGTTTAGTACGATAACTTTTGCGAGAGTTAATTTATTAACAGGAAAAATCCCTGGTTTCTTTCTCTCCACCTAAGATAGCCATCACAGTGTTATGTCTAGCACTTTCACATAATTAGTCGTTTTTGTCTAGAAGTAGTCAATGAAGTTTCTTTTAGCAGTTTAATATTGCTTTAAAAAACGGTTGTTTTCGTCCTTTCCCACTTTTTTGCCCTCTTTCATTATATTCTTTTCCTGCCCGTCGCCTTATCTCGTCATTGGATCATCAATCGTTTTGCGTTGCATTTCATGGAGATTTAACGTCTAATCGTCTACCACGTTAACCGCCATATAAACGATTAGGAGAAAGCGAAGTGTACGAGATGTCCGCACTGTGCCTGTACGAGTTCTCTCTAATACCTGGCATATAGCCGTAATCTGAGAGTTTTCGTTGTTAGCTATGACTTGTAATTATGTTTGCTGCCTAGCGACAAGTAATCCTCGGTTTTTTCTTTCCAATAGTTGCCCTTCCAGTGTTCTATCAGCTTGGCGCATAAATGTGTCGTTTTCTTTTTCAGCAATCGCGAGGTTTTTAAACAGCATTTACTTCCATAAAAACACAATTGTGTGATTGCTGAAAAAGAAAACGACACATTCATATTCCAATGCCGAGGTTAAGAGAAAGTCGATCCTTGGCGCATAAAATTAAATCAATCATTTGAGAACATTTTTTCTTGTATTTGCAATGTTTGTTCAGGATCTTTGGTTCTCTTTAACGCTCTCCCTCCTCGTTTTTTCCTGCCGTTTCCTTTTCTCTGTTTCATCTCTTGGTATTTCCGAAAACTGACTTTCTACTAACCACGACATTGATAAATAATTCGTTATTTTCTTCGCAAGCCCACACAAGGTTGTTACTATACTATTTCCTCACAGAAGCTGACGTTTCGGGCGATATCGCCTTCTTCAGTGTCTGAAAAAAGTCAACTTAATTGCAACTTGGTTACTCTCATAACTACAAAAGAATAAAACAACGACACCCAATTTTTAATAGCATTGGGCACAGAACAGCTTCTTCGCACACTGATCGCTTTCTGTGAGTCTTCCAGTGGGTATCCCAGGTGGTGACTTACTGTTCGTAGTTCACATGGGTAGGTAATGAGCCAATCTCACGTTAAAATATCAGTCTGTAATATTGTGTGAGATCACGCGCGATAACGAGACGTTTGTTCCTGTGGTTTATTTATGCATTCATTGAAGCAACATGTTTTGAGATTTTTACGCACTGAAGCATTCGATTTTCCTGCGAGAATGGTTAACTTTTACTTCAAAATCTTCCCCATTCGGTGATCCGTACTCACCTAGGAGAGTACTTGGTTTAGCTTTAAGTTTACCGACTAGGTGTTCTTTCCTACGAACACAGGTGGTCTACACGTTTCGCCAATATATTCGTCCCCGCAGGCTTTATAAAAGTTCATGTAAATCGTACTAGAACTCATGCAACCATCGTCTCCACCCTAAGGGCTAATTGTGCAATTTACGTTATGCCTAGATGGTTATACGTGCGGTTAGCAACTAATTTTTGTCTTAGAGTGTTCGATAGTAATTCAATTACTACAAACGATTTCTTTAGACCGGCCCTTTTTTCAGCAATATTTTGTAGCTGTACTTATTTTGTTGGAAATGAACGACAGCATATCTCTACGTTTGTGTTTTAGAAGGTGAAATCTGCCGAAGCATCAGTTGTTGTGAGTAAACAATGTATAATTACAATATCCTTATAATCTTAACATTTTTATTTACTGTCTATTATAATTTTTAACGGCAGGGTATCATGTGGAATACAACTAAGATGGTGCTGAGATATTTGCAAAACTCCGGACGGGTGCCGTTGACGGGTGATTGCTAATGGCAGAGATCGATAGAACCAGCTAAGAGACAGATGAAGCGAAGCACCCGCATGGTGTGGTGATGAGCGCGTTACTCCACGGAAAAGACAATAGCGCGTTCGTTCCCCACCGCAGCCACCTGCGGTCCGAAGTTTTGCAAATATCTCAGCATCATCTTAGTAGTATTTAGTATCCTCATAGTTTATTAAAGTTAATGATCAGGCTCATATTTTTATTGGTGTCACCTCATGGTACTACCTCTTCTTGAAAAAATCCCTTTATCCTTTTACAACGAGTTGTCTAAGGCGATGAAGGCTTGAAGAAGTCAATATAATTACGC